TTTCATCCCTTTTTCTTCCCAGCAGGTTTAAAATCTCCAAGATCATTGCGGTGGGGGACCTGTCGGTGGGGAAAACCTGCCTGATCAATCGGTAAGGATGGGGGTGACACCGGGGAGTGGGGGGGGTTTCGTCCCGTGAGAGTTTGTACGGGGGAGGGGAACGACCCAATGGCATGGCAGAGGGTCGGGGGAGGGGGTTGATCCATTTTTCTATCTTCTAGATGAGAGATTCCCTTCAGCAGAGGTTTCCAAACTTGGCCCCTTCTGGACTTCAACTCCCAGAATTCCTCAACCACTGTGAGGAATTCTGGGAGTTGAAGTCCACCGGCCTTAAAGCGGCCCAATTTGGAGACCCCTCCACTCTGAGCCTTTCTGCAAGAGCCAGGTGCAAGCGGGCAGTCGGACAGGCACAAGCTGGCCATGCAGCCAGGGGCGTGGCTATGACCCTTTGCTGTGAGCAGCGGGTGGACCTAGATGACCTCGGGGGGACCTGCTCACCCTTCCCAACGTGCTCGGGGTGGGTGGGGGGTTTTGCTGGCGAGGCGACTTTCCTTGAGAGGAGGGGGGGTGTCCCTGTTTCCTCATTCCTTCCTCCAGGTTTTGCAAGGACACCTTCGACAAGAATTACAAGGCCACCATCGGGGTGGACTTTGAGATGGAGCGCTTCGAGATTCTGGGGGTCCCCTTCAGCCTCCAGCTGTGAGTACCCCACCCCACAGGGCCCGGTTCCCCCTCCAGCACCTCCCCCCCTCCCTGTTTTAACCCCCCCCCTTCCTTGCTCCCTGCCAGGTGGGACACGGCTGGCCAGGAGCGGTTCAAATGCATTGCCTCCACTTACTATCGGGGAGCACAAGGTAAGGGTGCAGAGCGGTGGGGGGCACTTTGGGGAGGGGGGGGAGGGTCTGCCTCCCAGCCCACCCTGGGCGCAGCTCCTTCTCTTTCCTCTGGTTTCCAGCAGAGGTATCCAAGCTTGGCCCCTTTTAAGACTTGGGGATTTCAACTCCCAGCCTGCGCTGGCTGGGGGATTCTGGGAGTTGAAGGGGCCGAGCTTGGATACCTCCTGCTTTAAAGCCATAATCTCAGCCTTTTCAATCAATGGCAACCCACAACTGAACAACTCTGGCAAGGAAGGTCGTAGAGTGGGGCGAAGCCTCACTTAGCAACCGTCTCGCTTAGCTGTCACTTAGCAACGGTGGTCGTGGGTCAAGGACTCCCTGTGTGTAAAAGCTCATAAAATAGATCCTGTGTGGAGGGCGATCATTTTAAGAAGAGGCTGGGGCAGCCCTTGGTCTGAAATAACTGCTATAAGTTCCTCTGCTTGGGCAGGGGGTTGGGCTAGATGTCCTCCAGGGTCCCTTCTAGCTCCTATTCTGTTCTGTTCTGTTCTATTTTCTATTCTATTCTCTCTTATTCTCTATTCTATTCTATGTTGTATTCTATTCTATTTATTTCCTATTCTATTCTATTCTATTTTCTCTTTTATTCTATTTTCTATTCTATTTTATTATTTTTCTATTCTATTTTCTATTTTATTCTATTTTCTGTTCTATTTTATTATTTTTCTATTCTATTTCTATTCTATGTTCTATTCTATGTTCTCTTATTCTCTATTCTATTCTATTTTCTATTCTATTTCCTATTCTATTCTATTCGTTTTCTATCCTATCCTTGTTCTATTTCCATTCCATTCCTATTCTTATTTCTGAGTGTCCAACCCAGCTGGCCGGAGCTTCAGACCAAGGCCGAGTTTGGAAGAGCTAGGACTGCACTATGGGAAACCTTGGGGTGGGGCATGGAGGGGGGGAGGGTCTCCCAACGGAGGACCCCTGCCCCCCAAAAGAGCCTGCCAGAACTGCCCTGGCCCTCAGGGAATTGGTCCCCAGGCCTCGATGGGGAGGGGTCTCTGCAGGAGAGACCTTGAGCCCCACCCCCACCCCCGTGCCAAATGTCCTTCCTGGTTGGGGCTGGGGGAGGTTGCATGTGGGGGGGGGGAGGCTAATTCCCTGGGGGGGCACCTATTTTGACTCCCCCCAGCACCTGGGGTGTTTATCCTGCCTCTTTCTGCACCTCCCTGGATTGGCAGAACTCGAGATGCAGGGGAGGAAAAAGGGGCAGGGGGAGGCCCCTCCCCTCAGGGAAGTGAACCTCCCTTTCTGTGTGTCCCC